CTAAGGAGCAGCAAGCCGAGTGGTAAGGAGTGAGCAGGCTGGCAGTAAGGAGCGAGGGATCATGTATTGCGAGAGGGGATGTCCGACTGCTGGCTTAAGCCTGATTGGGCCTAAGCCGGCAGTTGGACATCCCGCGAGGGGTTCCGGACTGTGAGAGGGCACAGGCCGGGCTGAGGCCTCCCCCACCAGTGCACGAATTTCATGCACCAGGCCTCTAGTATGTATATATAGATTGATTGATTTCAGAGAGGAAGGGAGAGGGAGAGAGAGGTAGAAACATCAATGATAAGAATCAGTGATTGGTTACCTCCTGCATGCTCCCCACTTGGGACCAAGCCCGCAACCCAGGCATGTGCCCCTGACCAGGAACTGAACTGTGACCTCCTAGTTCAGTGGTCAGCAAACTCGTTAGTCAACAGAGCCAAATATCAACAGTACAACGACTGAAATTTCTTTTGAGAGCCAAATTTTTTAAACTTAAACTCTATAGGTAGGTACATTGCTATTAACTTAATTAGGGTACTCCTAAGCTGGCCATTGCTAAAAACGTCCTCAATCTGATTGATGTATGTTCTCTGAGGCCGACCCCTTCCAACTCTCCCATCCACACTCATCTTGTATACTTGTTTCGTCTATCTCCTTTCCGAAAACCGACTTCTGCGCATGGGCCACAAAGTTTCAATCGCACTGTACGTGCGCGCCCATGCACGTGGTATTTTGTGAAAGAGCCACACTCAAGGGGCCAAAGAGCCGCATGTGGCTCGGGAGCCGTGGTTTGCCGACCACTGTCCTAGTTTATAGGTTGACGCTCAACCACTGAGCCATGCCAGCTGGGAAATTCCTGCCTCTTTTTGATAGCATTAGGTATCAAATGGGAAGTGATACTGTACCTTATGATGGGCTGGCTATGGTCCAAGGGGAAGGAGAGATAGAAATAAGAAGCCATCAGCATTTGGGTGAGTTTTGGAAATACAGTCTTGTTAGTTTCTGTGGCCACAAAGATAAGCGCACACATGAATGACTTAGCCAAACGTAGCTTACAAGTTAGGTTTACACCTGTGATGTTATATGCCAGAAAAACAGTGAATTTCACATAGTGAGAATTCTAATCTTAGATCAGCCATGGAATTTCTGTGTGACCTTGGGAAAGTTCCTTTCTCCTCTCTGGGCTTCAAATTACCCATCTGTACAATGAAATGATTGCCTCAGATTTCTTCCATCTCTGCTTTTTGAGGTTCTCTTTTTCAGGAGCAATATGAGATGTGGCCAATTATGTTTTCCTTTACGTTTTCCCCAGTGTTATTAAAACGGACAGTTCACCCTGCTTTAGTTTCTGGCTAGAATCTTTCTTCCACAGCCCCTGTCAGCTGTCAGCCCCAGTCCCTCCCTCCAGCACTGTCTGGTTGACTACATTTTCTCTCTTCTCTAGTATGTTCTCAAACCCTTCCTGGCAGAGTGAGTGTGGGAGCTGGAAGAGCATCTTGTCTCAATATTTATTGTCTACCAGACACGGTAAATCCATCCCATCTTGCAAAGTGATAGAGCGCCGCGACCTGCACGGCTAGGGTTCAGGATCTGAAGGAGGGGCCAACGCACAAATGAAAATACTATGCAAGAAATTATGAATTTAGAAGGAATGAGGGGCCAGGTGGAGACCTCTCTCTTGGAGAGGCACACTGAAACATGGCCTTCTCCGCTTTTGTGCCCTGACTGGGAATTGAACCGGCAACCTCCTGGTTCATAGGTCGATGCTCAACCACTGAGTCATGCCAGCCAGGCCTTCTCCGCTTTTTATTCAGTTTTAGATACACATCTTGCCCTCAGTAAAGCACAGCAAACAGGTAGCAGACAGACAGTCTCTAACGTCAACAAAGATCAGTAAGGTTCAAAAAAAAAAAAAGATCAGTAAGGTTCAGTAAACATTTACTTTGAGGCTATTAGGTTAGGAAAATCCTTCAAGCCACCACTGCTATCTCAACAGAACAATGGTGCTTGGTGTTAGCCCTGCTAACGCTCAAGGTCCATTGGCCTTCCGCGTTCCTTGGTGCACTCTCAAATAGTATTGACAGTGGGTGGCTTCCTGCAATAGAGGATTCCTGACACAATCTCATTTTGCTTTTACTGAGGAGGTATCCATGGAGAAAGGTGGTGCATTGGACCTAATGATGACTATGAGGTCTCCTGGCATGAATTACACACACACACACACACACACACACACACACACACACACACAGCTTCAAAGCTCAGACAAAGCTTGTAAAAATGGATTCTGTCTCTAGATGGT